CACTCTGCGTGTGTGTGCACTATTTACTATTTCCGGCAAGCATTCACCTCCTGCTGATGAGCAGCACTCAGTTGTGCTGCACAAAGCAGCTGAGGGGGAATAAAGCCCAGCCTAGAGCCCAGGTGGGTGGGTGGGCCAAACAGAAGACCAGAAGATCATTGCAGCGAACTGGTTTGGTGTCAGCTGCTCTTCAGAGCTACCAGTTCTATAGAACCGTCCCGAACTGGTAGAATCCACCCCTGGGTTGCCTGAATTTTAACTGTGTGGCTGTGGCAGTTATTGGTGCAAGGAATAGTTATAAATCACTTTTTTCAGTGCTATTGTAATTTTGAATGGTTATTAAATGAATGGTTGTAAGTCAAGGACTACCTATGTAGCCAGTAAAGCAAAAGTACATATCTTCTTGGAACTCCATCGTTTTTCTCCCATTATCTACTGAATGTTAATAATGAGATTGTTGGTGCTCCTGCTTATTCTATATCCCTCTTGCACTACTTTTTTGGTTTGAAACATTTTGCTGCTTATCCAAGAAGCTTCTTCAGTATGAAGAAGGTTGGTTCAGTATGAAGAAGCTTCTTGGATAAGCAGCAAAATGTTTCAAACCAAAAAAAGAAAAGAAGTCCTATTGCCATGACTCAACCTCCAGACAATTCTACTCTAATGACTGAGAATTTGAGCCAGCAGTATGCTGCAGCTGCCAAAAAAGCCAATGCAGTTCTAGGCTGCATTAGCAGAGACATAGAAAAAAAATCACGTGAAATATTAATGCCATTTTATAATGCCTTGGTAAGACCATCCTTGGAATACTATATCCAGCTTTGGTTGCCACAATACAAAAAAGAAGTTGAGACTCTAAAAAGAGTGCAGAGAAGAACATCAAAGATGATTTGGGGATTGGAGACTAAAACATATGAAAAATGGTTGCAGGAATTGGAAAGGAAAGACTAGGGGTGACATAATAGCAGTGTTTCCATATTTGAGGGGCTGCCACAAAGAAGAGGGGGTCAGCCTATTCTCCAAAGCACCTCAAGGCAGGACAAGAAGCAATGGATGGAAACTAATCAAGGAAAGAACCAACCTAGAACGAAGAAATTTCCTAACAGAACAATTAATCAGTGGAACAACTTGCCTCTAGAAGTTGTCGGTGCTCCATAACTGTGGTGTTTTAAGAAGAGTTCAAACAACCATTTGTCTGAAATGATAAAGGGCTTCCTGCTTGAGCAGAGGGTTGGACTAGAAGACCTCTAAGGTCCCTTCCAACTCTGTTATTCTATTAAATCTTTATCCACATAATATCCAATGGTTCTCTTCCCACATATTGTTGGGGTCTGTGTGGAAAAATCTTCAGCATATCTTACTACTAGTAGCAGGTGAGATTAGAATTTTTGTTTGATCGTTTGTGCAAACATTCAGAGAAATAAAAGATATATATTAAGAAATACACAGATGTTTAATTAAAACAGTTACAGTTACCTAGGTTCAGAATAAAAGCCTTTCGGCTATTAGTTATGCACTCAGAGTGCAGGATAATTAATTTAAATTTAATTGAACTCACGACAACTTACTGGCTAACCTCCAGAAGTCACATTGGAAACTGGACTATGCTATGTGCTAACTTTTAAAACTTGCTAGAGCAGGGAATAAATGTTTAGGAATGGTGTGGATGTTGATTATTATGCTCAATGCAATCCCAAATTAGCTTCTCAAATGTAAAATCTCATTAGACCTACTGGAATTTTTCTTAATCAGCTCAAAATTTTCATTATTATTATTATTGCTGATATTTCCAAATCAGTTTTCTATTGTTGTGTCATATAGTTCATAGAATCATAGGACTAGAAGGGACATTCTCCAGTCAAACCTCTGCCCAAGGCAGGAGACCTTATCCTCACCATCCTGGAGAAACGGCTATCCAATCTTTTGTTGAAAGGCTGAAAAATGCCTTTCTTCTGAGGGCTCGCTTTTCCTGCTGGGAGAACTCCAGTGCAAGGACAAGACAACTGCTTGGAAGCTGGTTTATTTTTCAGGAAGGCAAGAGATAGCAAGAAGTCTGAGTTCCTGGGGCTAGCCATCTTTGTATAATAAACCCCTGATTTTTATACCTTTTTCTCCTTTTGTGTGTGTGTGCTTGTGTTTGTATTTCTTAATGTTTTAAATCCTGTCGGGGGTTGTCTTCATTTCCGCCGGAGGGTAAACTCCACGGCGTGGTTTGATTGGATTATCAGTTTCATTCTAATGTTTTCTTATATTTGCTTGGTGGCAATCTCCTGTCTGCTATGGAATTTATTTCGTGTCTTTTGTCTATTTGTTTTGCTGATTTGGCATGACCTGTTGTTTGTAAGGGATTTCTTTTTCTTGTTTCCCTAGCTTTCTTAATTACTTGGCTTTTGTCTAGGGAGCTTCTTTCAATACCTTTTATTAAATCTCTTTTCCTATGCAAGTTTGTTTTATGACTGGCTTGATGTTCCCTTTGGGCTTTTCCTGCTTGGGTGTCATCACTGTCTTCATGAAGTTCCCTTTCCACACTTTTCTTCAAAAACTTCAGCGATAGAGCGCTCACAACTCCAGGAGACAAGCTGTTCCATTTATTAATTGTTCTCACTGTCAGGAAATGTCTCCTTAGTTCCAGGTTGCATCTCTCTTTAGCAAACTCCAAGACAACATGTGAAATTCCAAACCATGCATTCTGTATTGGTTGAGAATATTGATCTTAGATAACAGGGAATCAAACTGTGACAAGCCCTACTATGAAGTTGATACGAGGAAAGTTTCTGAAAGACAGATATGCCAGGCAAACGTTTTGATAAGGAGTGTCAAAGACACAACCAGGAGGCATATGTATAAAAGAAGAATCTTAGCAAACAACAACACAATCATCTTCCCATTGTGCCTTTCATTTAAAAGATCCATTAAGAACGATGACCAATCAGTATCAAGTAAGAAAGCTATCATCATAAAAAATATTTCATGTATAGTGTGGGTGCAATGAAATACATACAGCCTGGTCCTATACACCTTTACTTAAAAGAAGTAATATTATTGTTGAAGAAAGCTTTCTTCCTGTTTTTTCCATCTTCACCAGATCTACAGTAAACTCCCAGAGCCCCAAGCTAGTAAAGCCACAAGATTGTGAAGATTTCAGTATTTTAGGGATTATTTTCTTTTCTTTTAGCCAACAGGTGCCTCTTGCATAGTTCATGAAGCAGTTTATGATAAACAGAGGCTTGCCAGCCAAAGAAAGCAGAAGATTTGCATATTATGGACTACATCCTTATTCACTGTGCACTGAAGGGAAAGGCAAGAATGATAAATAGCCACCTTTGTTACCAAGCCATTTTTCCACCTGTACATTTCCTTAATTAAGGATAATTTTTTTTATGACTTCTATTGAAAGGAAGTTCCATTAAAAATAACCGAAGGTCATGCTCATTGTAAATAGCTGGGCAATACATAAAATTGATTAGCCTGCACACTTAGAAAGAACTTAATTGGAAATATAGGTTCACCAGAGGTCTTCACCCTAGAAACCACTTGATGCACCCCCAAATCATTCAGCTCTATAGCACAGGTCTTGTCAACAATGTTAGGACAGGTTGGCACATAAAATACACAGGTGGGCAATAAGAAATAGTAGGAAATCCTTTCGTACACATAGAGAGGTGCTAGCTAGCAAGAGTTTGCCTGATGAGGCAATGCTGCCAAGCCAGAAACAAGTTAGACAGTGTGGTGGGTAACGGGAAAAAGGATTTAATTCAAAGAAAACTTTCTGCATCCATTCATTTTGCCTAATATATTCTCTTAAGAAGGGTTGTGCTTAAACTAACTTCTTTTAAAGAATTTTGAGATTTTAATATAGGTGTCTTAAACTACAAAATGTAGTTTTTAAAAAAGAAATGATTTAACAGCCATCCTCAGCTGTTCTTTGCTAACATTTGCTACTTCTCACTGCTTCTGTTTTTTAAAATCTAATTGACTTATAGAATATCTTTTTTTTTCAAAAAAAAAACTACTACATAGAGGGGATACTCCAATCTCTGCTTCCTTCTCCACTCGGTTTTTTTTTTTTTTTTTGCATATGAAATTGCCACTGAAGAAGGCATATCTATTCTTATTTTATTTTTAGCACATTTGTACGGATATAAATATTCAGTTTGATACTGACAGCTTTGTGCTTCCTTTGTAAACTGCTACCTTTCCACTTCCAACGTCAGAATTCAAGGATTTCTCAGTGTGGTTGTCCTGTTTATGGTTTCATGAACAGAACGTGGACTTCCAATATCTCACTGGTAAATTTAAAAACAAAATCATTCATTCAAAGATGACAATTATGACTACTGCATGACTCAACTATTTTTCTGAGACAGCAAACTGCATTGCAAAAAGGCCCCCAAATATAAAAAAACCCCAACAACCCTGCATTATGCTTCGAAATGACTTACCATCAGACATATGATGAACTAGGATAATCCCAAATGCGATGAGGATAAGGTGAAAATTCATGTTTCCTCATATACGGGAGGTATTGAAAGTGATAGTGAGTGAATTGCCAAGGCTTTTACTCCCTCCTTCAGACTTACAAAGAAAGTTTGCTGCCCCACCCCTAGCAAAGCGTAAACATTGGCTAGAGCTCACAAGGGGTTTTTGGAGTTTCCAGCAGGAAATAAATAAGTTATTATGTTCCTCAATACATCATTGTCCATCTAAAGCATCCTTCTGTAGTCTTCTTCTAGCATCATCCGTTTAACCAGAGATGCTAGGGATTTCATCTACCTTTTCTGAAGTCAAAGCAAGTGTCGCATTAGATAGGAATTTCACTTCAGTCATGTTGGTCTCTTTCAAAGCTCACTTTACATCTAAGGTAGAGATTGCTGCAATAGCTACAAACTCTTGTGGATAGACCAAGATAGGGCAGAATTACCCATTCGGTTATCTGGACTAATTCAATACTTTAGCTGTAAAGCTTGGGAGCCATTTGGACAAGCAGCTGGAGACATTTGCTTTGTTAGAGAAAAATGTATTGGGAACCAAATACTGTGTAGTTGAGTATATGGGAGTTCAATATGAATTATAGAACTATATGAGAAAAAAAATGGGGGGAAAATAGAACATTAATATTGCTTATTTTCAATCTTTATAATTTTCTATTAATAGTATTTGGTCCTACCTTGTCTAGTCAAGAACATTTATTAGCTGTTTAAATTGTACACAAGCATTATATGTAGGTTTTAAACCATCATAGTAGCAACTTTTCGGTATAGTGCTTCATCTTTTTTCATATTATATTGAGCAGATCAATATTTTTCTTTGTTTCTGGATGGTTGGTTGAATCAACACCATCTGGAACGATGTGATGGAATGTAGTGGCCAGTTTCCAGGAGGAAGGGAGTATATTCAAGAGGAGTAACAGACAACTCAGTTTAGATAGTTTGTGTGAGAAAAAGAGGGGGAAGACAGCCTCTCCTTAACAGTTCATATAGTAGTACTTCATGTAAGTGTAGTCTGTTTCAGTTTGGCAAGATTCTGTCTACAGGTATAAAGCAATAGAGAAATCTGCTTGAAAGAATCTTTCTGAACAGAGTCCTTAAAGCCACCTCTGTAATGTTCCTTTTACTTTGGCGCTGCTTTGGTTCTGTGGTCCCAGTCATCCACAAGCACAGTGATGCCGTAAGATCCCAAGAGTCAGGTTGTGATAAACATGCAAAGGGTCAGTGCTGTGATTCAACTGAGATCCAATTTCTGATAATGAATTTCAGCATGGTGTTTATGAGACGTATAACACCAGCATTATGAAAACACTATGTCTTCTTAGTATAAATATTATCACAATTCGATATACACTGGAGAAGACAAGAAAATGGACCAAAAAATTGCAAGATAATGTGAATTATCTTGCAAACATTATTGACATTGTCAAGATGAAATATCTCCTCATATCCTAAAACAGTTCTGCTAGAGCAGGGGTGTCAAACTTGATTTCATTGAAGGCCTGATCAGGGTTGTGAAGACCTTGTGGGGGTAGGGGGGCATGGCCAGAGTGGGCATGGCCAGCTCAAAATCACTTGTATTGGGGGCGTCTGTGTTGGACTCCTGAGCTCAATTTTAGCTGGCAGAAGCACTGCGGGCCAGTCCTTCACTGTTTCCAGGGTGGCCCCCCTGGGCCAGATCTAAGCACCCTGTGGGCTGGATATGGCCCCCAGGCCTTGAGTTTGACACCCCTGTGCTAGAGTAATGTCTGCTCTGAATACTTTGTAAGGGCTTCCATATTAACTGAAGGCTGGAAAGCAGCAAAAGGAATCATACAGATAGACCTGGACTTCTGACCACAATGGAGCCTGGAATTTTGTTCCTAGGTCACTGCAGTCCCAAGATGAGATATCATATCACTGGACCTGGTTTTATAATAATCTTTACGATGGTTGTTAAGTGAGTCACCATAGTCATAAAGAAATCCAGCATATCCCCCAAAATGTAAATGTTTTCAGTAGGAAACATGACAAATCACAATCACGTGACCCTTGCATACTGTAACCAGCTGTAAATGCAAGCCAGTTGCAAAGTGCCAGAAATGTGGTCACGTCATAGGAGAGGCGTGGATATTTGAGGGGTTTTTTTTTGAGGATTTTTCTTAAGTCTGTCATGAGTTCAAATTTCAATATTAAGTTTTAATGCCCATTTTATATGTGTTCTGGGCAGCATTTCTGCCCCACTTTGTTTGGTGTTCTTTTAATTAAAAAGAAGGACTGTTTCTCCACCTTGGAGAGGTTGAGAAGCTGCGTGGACTTTAACTCCCAGAATTCCCCAGCCAGCCTGCCATTGGTCAGTCAGTGCTAAGAAAAAAACGCACTGTAAAGCCAAAGGACCAGGCTGTATGTATCACTTTTTTTCTTCTTCTTGTAAGAAATATGCATTAAAGGCAGTGGTGGGATTCAATTTTTTTTACTACCGGTTCTGTGAGCATGGCTTGGTGGGTGTGGCAGGGGAAGGATACTGTAAAACCTCCAGTCAGAGATGGCATTTTCCAGTTCTCCGAACTACTCAAACTTCCCATTACCAGCTGTAAGAACCTGGCCAGAACTGGTCAGAACCTGCTGAATACCACCTCTGATTAAAAGGGTTAAAGGGGACTGCAGGGAGAAATGGGTCAGTTTATAAGTGGGTAGATGGACTATGGTTTTTGTTAATTAACAAATAAATAGAAAATAGTTACTGTTTAGTGGAAGCGCCCATATCCACTACAAATGTGCCTGCTGATTGCTTTCCCCCACCCCATGTGGTGCGTCTTGAGACCCTCCCCTTTCTCTTTCAAATACATCATCGCCATCATCATCGTCGCCCCGCCCCAATTTCCTCCATTTCAGAAACTCAGCAGGCTGAATACAAAGAAGCATTTTCAGTAAGGCTCTGCATAGGTGAGGTTCCTTTTCCAGGCAAATTATGCTTGCACTGTAGGAAATTAGCACCCACCCCTCTCCTAGGAAAAGGAAATGCTTTAGGATATGCTAAAAAGGCTGAATATTTCCCCTAAAAGAGAAGTAGAAACTCTGAAACACAGAAACTCACCCCCCCACACACACCTTTGTCAATGGACCATTAAGCCGTGGGCCAGTCTATTCTATATAACAAAGATCTATTTCCTCCAGGTAGAGCCACAATAGGAGTTACCCAAAGCCCTTTCATTACATCACCATCCAGCAAGGCTGAACCAAGCCTGGGACTCAGGACAGCCTACAGAGTCCCTGCATGGCCCCATGGGAGTCTGACAACCAATCAGAATACAAGCTCAAATTCAAATTCCCACAGAGGGCATAAAACCCAGGGACTCTCAGCATCTCTTCCCTTTTTCGCTCAGGAGCTCCAAGGCTTGTGATCCTGTCCACCATTAGACTCCAAACAGCCTCCATGTTTCCAATGTCTTTTACCCCACTTGGAATTGAACCCTGAAGGACATTTCTTCCAACAGTACCTTACATTATATCTTTCTGGTGCTGCGCCAAGATTTTGAAATCTGCCCAGATCTTGAAGGACATCACTTGAACAAGCTGGAATTGATTGGTATGACAAAGTGTTTTTATTGCTTTATGGTCTTTAAGATTTATCACTTCTACCACAGTTGTATGTTTCAAGTAATGCTGATTGGTTCCATTGTACTTTTATTGTTTGGAATATATTGATTTCAGGGAAGATCTTTGATCTGTTGCATTTTTCTTTGAGCATTTTTTTAAGTGGAAAGCAGCAGTTTCACCACAATTTATTCTATCCTCTGAAGCTACAATCCTGCCCACATCTACTTGGAAACAAGCTCCATTGAATGCAATTAGACTTCATTCTGAGGAAACAGTTTCTAAGTTGGTAAATTCACTGAAACCATCAACTAGCAATGATCTCAGTCCAATGTACTGTTTTGAATTGTCCAATGTACTGTTAAAAATACTTTAAGCCTCCTTTTTCATTCATCAGGATCCTCTAGGATAATTTGTGAGCCTTTTTTTACTTGTAAACTGCCCACAATCATTTGGCAGTGAGGTGTATAAATTTGATTAATAAATAATAAATAAATAAGGCAGTGTCACCCAAGTGCATTGAACCTGTTAGGTCTCCCACAAAGTCAGAATAATGGCAATGAAAAAGTTGCTCCATTGTTTGTATGATATCGTAACTGGGAGCTTCTACTTGTGAGAAATTTCAATGTATCGCTATGCCAGGGATATGTTCAGAATGTCCCATTACTCAACTGGATAACATTATCAGTGATAGACTAATGATGTTACCTAGTTGGGTAATGAAATGTCTGCAAGAAAACAATCAAACTCAGAGGGCACCCAGGACCCCATAGCTCAGTCCTGAGCTACAAATTTTCTTCTATTGATATTGCCTTGCAGAGGAGAACAGAGCTGGAAAGCAGGTTAGTGGGATGGGGAGGGAATGGAGATTTTGCAGTATCTTTCCTCTGCCACCCAGCCATGCTACCAAGCCATGCTATGCCCATCAAGCCATGCCCAGAGAACCAGTAGCAAAATTTCTTGAATCCCACCACTGAGTCCAAACCCCTGCTTAGGCAAGAAACCCTACACTATTTCAGACAAATGGTTATCCAATCTCTTCTTTAAAACGTATCACTTTCCTATGTGCTTGAAGGCCTGTGTTTACACTCACTGAAGTAGATTGTTGACTCTGCTTATCATATAGTTCCTGGAGTACAATTTTATCAGTGATCTTGCATTAAAGTTAAATCTGCCATTATGCCAGCAATATCAGTTTTGATAGGCAAGTGAGATTTGCTACCCTGACAAGCAGAGAAATATGGCAAAACGCTAGCAATTTATTCTGTTCTCTTTGGGGCAAGAGGATACTGGGATATGTGTTTAGACACATATCAAAAGGAGGCAAGTAAGTCCCAATTGGCTGAAAGTCATCTGGGTTCTGCGGCTGGTCAAATAGGGCACCACCAAATTGGTGGTTTTGTTGAATTCTGAACAAACTATACGTATGTCCGTCCTTATGTTCAAATATAGCAGGAAGTAGTAAACTAATAATAATAATAACCTCTTGAATGAGT